TATTAACATATATATGCAATTAGTCCTGTATTATGTTGGATGATTTATAATTGCGTAATGCAACTGAAGAATTAAGAAAATTTAATATTGAACAACTTTAAATAAATATTTTAAATAAAATATTCAATTATTGAGCCGTTTAAAAAAAAGCTTTATAAAGTACGAGACATTTTTACTGTATGTCTTATCAACAAAGTAATTATAACGACGTTTTAAGAAACGAAACTTGCGAACGCTTTTATTTGTAATTGATGAAAATTACAAAAGTACAAAGAACTTGTAAGATAAAACATGACAAAAAAATACCGATTTCATATTTTTCTGATAAATTCTTGAAGAAGAACTAAAAAGATAACTACAAGAACTACAGTTAAAAAAAAATTTAAATAAGCATTTGTCTGAAAACTTTACGTGTTTTAAAAAAATTTATCAAACTAAATCTAAGAATAAGTGCATTTTAAGACTAATATTATAGTTAAGTTTATTATAAAGTACAAATTATTCACGTTGATGTTAAAATATCTTAAATAATATTAATTTTGAATAAATTTGTTTAAATAAATTTTAATAACTGTAAAATTTTTTATTAATGGATTAATGTACTTAATTGAATAAACTATTTTATAGTTATTGTAACTAAAGCTAAATGGTTATATAAATTATAAATTATTAATTCTTGTAATTCAGCTTTAGTTGCAATAACTATAAAATATTTTACTTAACTATATATTAATTTTATATAATTTAGTTTAATTACTGTTTATGTTATTTACTATTAATGTTACAGTATTAGTCAAATAAACTATTTTATAGTTATAACTAAAGCTGAATAATGAGAATTAATAATTATTAATTAGTTCTCGTAATTATTCAGCTTTAGTTAAGCAATAACTATAAAATAGTTTATTCAACTATGTACGTTATTTTTCATATACATATATAAATCTTGTACAATTGTCATTTATCTGGCTATATCTCTCACCACTATATCTTTTTCTCTAATTGTGAGTGCAATTGAGCATGAAAGTTAAATTTTAAGATTTAATGTTTCTCCTGTAGAAACCTACCGGTAGACTGAGGACAAGGCGGACCTCTGCATGTTTTCATTACAGGAGGTCGTGGTATATCTCTACAAGCGTTCCCTGCCGGTTTCTTCGTGCCGAACCAGACGCATTGTAAAATCCTATACTTGATACCATCTTCCTCGCAAGACGCGGTGCACTGTGCATTAGAATGTTACTTTAGCATGAGCACATAAATTTCTAAAATCATGTAAATAATCTCGGCTCCATTTACCTCGGTCCACTCGCCGACCCTCCAGACACCTTTACAGGCGTCATTGTAGCATTCCTGTCTTTGTAGCGGCCTGGTGGCCTCGTCGCACTTGCTCGGATCCAACAGCGTGACATTCTCGCGACCGTCCTCCGCGTCGTCCACCAAACGACAGCTGATGTCCCGTTTCTGCATCGCCGTCTTCCAGTTGAAGCATCTGGACGTTTCGCACGGAGTCCATTCCGTGGTGTGCCACTGGGGACACTTGCCTATTCCGCAGGGTCTCACTTTCTGCGGCACCGGATATCCAGCGTCCTCGCACAGCTTTTGGCCGATGACTGTCTTTGGCGAAACGCGCGTGGAATTGCCTTCCGTTTTCGTTGATCGAACCGTACACTGCGCACCTCGCATCTGTGGCAACGAATAATTCGCAATGCAGTTATTTCGAAGTATTTTTTGATAGAAGTATGTATTTCGATATGAAATTGGATGTAAATTCTTTGGACTTTTAAATATTTTTATTAGCATGTCGCGATTTCTTTAATTTTTTCAAAAAATAAATAAATTAAATTGATATTGAAGCTTATAACGTTTTAAATGACAACAAGTAGACAATGTAAATGAATGAATCATGATAATATAAATGAATGAATCAATTCAAGTGAATGAACACAATCGTATATGAAGCAGACGTACAAGTTATCTAAAGCTTCTTATCGCTTCAAACATTTCTTAGACAATTGCTTAACAATGATAATAATAATTGATAAAAGTATTTTTTGTCGAATTAACTCGAAAAAATTGTAAATTTTCTAATTCAAGCTAATAACAATTAAAAAAAAATTGGTCTTACCTGGAATCCACTTCCTCCGCAAGTCTGAGAACACTTTGACCAATCGGTCGTAACCCACTCGTACACCGGAACCATATCCGTAGCTGCATTATATAAGTCCTTCGTTTAATTATCAAAACGCTTAAATATTATCAAGACAAGATGAATCATCGAATACAGATCTTACCTAGTGCAGCGAGCGATTCTACAGCGGGATCTTTCGTTGTATCGTCCTCCCCCGTTACAGTGGAGGTCAGAACGTTCGCGAGTTTAACTTCATCGGTTGAACGTTGCCCCTCTCTAAACACTTCTTTTAGATTAACCGAAAAGACCTTTTCCATGGAGCCCGTGTGATCCTCTCGATTGCGAGATAAGTTTCTTACGCTCTCGTCAGGATTCTCCCCGACAACGCCCGGCCTCCGATCATCTATCAACGTCGGGTCTTCCACCGGTCTATTTTCCAGATCCCTAGTAGTCGGAAATCGCGCGATTGTATAATCCGCCGTGTGATTCTCCACATACGGTTCGATTTTCCGCTTATCCAACTCCTCCTCGAACGCGTCGCTGTACTCGATTGTCCTGTTCGCGCGGTTCGAACTACGATGATCCGACTCCGGTATCCTTAATTGATCTTCAAGACTTCTAGACATCATTGTCGCGGTGACGGTCGATGGATCTTCGGTTCTCGAGTTCCCATAAACGCCGTGATTGATGGACTTATCGCTATCGTCGGTAAAACCGTCTGCCTCCTTGAGCATTTCCCTTCTTGTGCTCGAGTCCTCAACGTAATACATGCCCATTACGGCGTGATATTGCCGCGGAGACGTGATAGATTCCGTCGTGCCTCCGCTCTGGACGTGACTTTTGGGCGTGGTGCTCCACTGATCTTTGTACCCGCCGTTCCTCGACTCTTGCCACTGCCGCTTCACATTTTTTAACGACTCCTCGATATAATCGATATCGGACTTCGTGGTGAGCTCGGTATCAACTTTCTCCATTATATCCGACTTGACGCCGTCGCCGTGCTGCAGCCCGAATACAGATTCGTCCAGATCGTACGGATCGACGTCGATAAATATCCGCTCCTCGTCCGGGCCAAAGGTCTCGTCCGGGATGGCTGTGTTACGGTATAGATTGTCAAAGCTATTCTCTACACTTTGATACGTGAAGTCGGTCTCCCTGTTGGACATTCTACGCTTCGTCGTCGCCGTCCGTTTATGCCCGTCCTCGACAAATGGCGTGGAAACGGTCTTGCGACTATTACTCGTGGCTATTTCGCTGTGAAACGGCCAATAGGCCTATCATAAAGCGCGTTAATATTTAACATTTAGATTTTTATAGTACGTAACGCTAATGCCGAGTTTAACGTTAAATCGTCGAAAATTTAGCTACGGTAAGACAGGCAGACAGGCGCGCGCGTTATATATAACTCCGTCGAGTTTATTCACAAATTAATGTCTTACCTTCAAGCTCGATATCAAGTAGCTCAAGTGCGGTACAAGAGTAGAAGCACTTGATGGAGCAGGTGATTCCACGGACTCGTGATATCCCGGCTTGATTGATAGTCACAAATATCGAATAACCGACATCGAGGAAAGTTAGTCCAGGAGTGCAAAGCGAAATACAGAACCATCACCAGAGAATTAGTTTGACGAAATTCATGCACATACCATTTGTTAAGCAATGTCAAGATACGCGCAACGAATTATTGTAACGGATGACAATCTTGACAGTAGAATGCTTTTTCGCGTACCTGATTGAGAGTGGTAACAGTATGCTCTTTGTGCATCATCGTGGCATCTGACGGCGCGGGACTGGTTTTCTGCTTCTTTTGATGTGGTTTTCTCGTTGGTTTGCTCGGAAACGCACGTTCATGGCTCAAGTCCTCGCTATCAAAACGGTTTCCGTAGGCTGCTACAAAAAGAAAATCAAAGTTGCACGTAAAGTTAAAAAATTATTAAAAATGTCCATTTTTTAAATGTAAATTTGCAATCTTAAAATTAAAAAATCTAATAGATTTCATTATTTTAATTTTAAAACTAAAAATTATTTATATCATTAATTTAAAAACTATAAATTAAAAAAATTTATTAAATATCTATTAGATTTCATTATAAATCTATTAGATCTAAATCAGATTTATATTAGATTTTATTAAAAATTTATTATATTTTTTTAATTCTAAGAATACAATCTAAGATTTACAAAATAATGGATGTTATTAATAATTGTTTAATAAAAAAATCTATTAAAAATTTTGAAGACCTTTTGATTTATAAATAATATTCTTTTAAAGTCACAAGAATTTATCCGTAGTTTTTTTATCATTATAATTATTTGTAAACGAGACCGCATGGCATGTACCTATAAGTAAATAATTTTTTCAATAGAAATGCGCTTACCTGCATGATCAGTGTACGGACTTTCACCAGAATTCGCCGGTGCAGAGTCGAGGTTTGCGTTCCGTTGTAGGTGAACGGAATTGCCGAGTCGTAAATATTCCTCGCTACTTATCTGCTCTTTGGAGCGAAATTTCACTATCAACTGCGTCTCTGCGTGCGAATTTCCCGCTGGAAAAAAATTTTATCACCGCATTTTTCATAGCAACGTGTCGAAATACGGGATAGAGTATGGAGCGTGTGGCAGGCGGGAGACAGATCGCTTACCAATACAACCGTAGACTCCCGAGTCCGAGGAAACTATATCGATTATCTTCAAAGCTCCCTTCCTGCTAATCTTGTATTTCCTCGATTTTCGTATTTCCTTATTGTCTTTCGTCCATACAATCTGCGCTCTGATAACGACATGCACTTATAGTTATCTTTTCTTAATTCGCAATTACGCAAAGAACAACGTTTCGCGCCCGTACTTACTTGTCAAACTTCCGAACGGGACAGCGAATCTTGATAGACGGTGTCCCTTGAAAAATCTTGGCGATTCCGCCGATCTTCAAGTCCACTTTCGCATTGATATCCGATTGATTGTACGTCGTGTTCAAGCTCGTGATGATCGGCAATACGCCGGAGCTTGTGTCCGTGTCGTGGCAGGCTCTGGTGTTACAGGGTTTCTCGCTGGCTGGCCTTTGAGCCGGGCATTCACGTTCCTCGCGACTCTGCTTGCGACCTTGCGCCATTATCTGCTCGCAAACCACTTCTCGCTTCTTCACACCACCGCCGCACGTTTTCGAGCACTAAAATTATTTAATTTATTTTATTTTTAAGTATCAGGATAGACCGAGGAATGTTACAAACGATTAAGAACGGGCAAAACGGATCTTGGTGCTTCCATAATATTCTAAAGTTATTTTATTTTATTAATTATTAATTCAGGTCTTCGGAAAAGTTTAGGGACTTTTAGAACACGTTTTCTACAATACAATTCACCTATAAATTCAATTATATGGAACACATTGCTATCAGATTCTGATCAGTTTAAATTCTGAAATTTCAAGCAGATTCGATATATATTTTAATTTTATAATTTTAATACGTAGGTTTTATCAATAGAAAAATATAAAAATTAATAAACATGATACTTCAATCTTTCACGTATGATTTCTTTGAAATGACTAAATTTTATTATAATTCTTTTTGTATAAAAGTATACATGAAAGTTTGGCTCTTTACATCGAGTAGATTCTTTCATGTTATTTTAGTGAGGAAAGCGGTTTATTTCACTATTCTGCACCGCACAGTTCGTGTGTAACAAAGAGCTTTTTCCCCGAGATTGTTGAAGCCTTATACAGACGTGTGCAAACATATACCTTCCCCCATTCCCCCGTGCTCCATTTGACAGGACAATCCAGTACATTGCAGTATCGTCTGTCGGCGGGCGGTGGTTGCGGACACATGTAATTTGGAACGGGCACTGCTTTGCCGGTGCCGTGTGTCACCTCGTGGATACAGGTAACGTCACGTGTCTGTATACCAATACCGCAAGGGCTCATGCAAGTGGAGAATTCGCTATAATTCCACCTGCGGGCACAGACGATGACACATTTGTCAGGAAAGATCGCACAGAGAATTGCGTCATAACATTAAATTAAACCTTCCTCAATCGCGTGCAAATAGTTCGTAAAGTATATGACACGGTAAGGCGTACGATGAAAAAAGTTCTTCAAGTACTTTCTAAATATAATTTATAAATATAGAGCTTTGGAAAATGAGAAAATAAAAATAATAACAGATCAAGAACCGATAAACACAGTTTCATCAAAATTAAAAAAAAATAAATCGACCAATTTTTTCAAATCTTTATTGTTTATAACGTATTATCGTACGGATTGAACAAAATATTTGTAAAACCGTGCTATATGTGTTTTTTTTTCGTTAAAAATATTTAACGAGAAAAATGTTTATTACAAGGGAGCACTGAAATTGACATACTTGATAATGTGTAAGTCTCAGGGTACTTTAGCGATTAAGTAAATCGAACATTATGTAACGCTAAGTGTTCTAACATTTAGAACACAACATTAAACTGATCGATTTCGCGGAGTTATATAGTTTTACCTCGGTGGACACGGATGGTCGTTGCAGACTCGTATCCTCGCCTCCGGCTTCGTTTCCGCGGAGCATAAAAGCGGCATCACCGTTTTTCCGGTGTCGTCCCGCACACAGTTTATAATAAGATCTTGAACACCTAGAGAAGGCAGAAGAGGCATGTATATATATATAATCGGCTCGCGCGATCCGCTATAAACGACAGATAATCCGCCCAGAGCGTACGCTCGTCCCCTTTGTATCGCGTTAGTCGACACAGAGTAATCTTAATACGATTATACCTGAGCGCTGTTAATTGCACAATGACATCGGCACGATTTTGCCGGGCTAATTAAGGGCTACGTCGACGAGTTAAATTTGTTCCGCTAATCCTATTCAATAAACGATTAATATCAGCTTTGCGCAGACTGTATATGCTTTTCCGATTTTGTTTACAAATATCGCATAGAAAATTGGAAAGAATAAATAACGAGGATTAATAATTATTAAATCGTTTCATTTGTTCAAAGCTATTGAGACACGGCTCTAAATAAAATGTGCAAAAAGTGTATTTCTACTAACGGATATATATTTATTATATTACATACATTTTTTATTATATAATATAATAATATAATAATATGTATATAAAAAAATTCTTCATTATAATAGAAATATGATTGGGTCATATCGAATTTTTTTCTGAAAACTTAATAATTTAATCTTGATGCGGCAAATTAAATTCTACTCGGGAGTAAAATACGGAAATTTTTCAGAATTATCTCGATAATTTCTCCAAAAATCTATTCATTAGCGTGAAAATCAATGCGTTTGTGGCGTGCTTCAGCGAAAGCTATTCGTCATTTAAAATCCATATGTGACGGATCGAGAACCCGAAACTCCCGGACCGCCTGGGTAGTAAAGCCCCGGCCTCTTATCCGTTCGCGTCCGGGTGTATTATCAAAGGCAATCTCGGCAAACAATGGCCGTTCGATCCGTTACCTCCTAAGCATGTCGCGCTGCAGGGGGTGTAGCCGGTTTCCTTCCACGAGTACGTAGTTTGCACGTCGCTACCCGGGGCGACCTTGATACCGCTGTCGTAGCCGCTTCCGCCGGAACTGCCGGACGATGATCTACTATACGAGTCCGTCAGGCTCGACTCGGCGTATTCGCTATTGCCGGCCGGGTCAATCCTGTAGGACAGACTGTTCTCCAGCAAGTTGCACGACTCCATCGTGCACGACTCCCTGTCGATGGGCTTCTGGCCGGAGCACTGGCTGTCCGGCAGCTTGGCGATGGTCTGGCTGAATTCGAGGAATATCTTGCAGTGCACCTTCCTCTGCCTGAAGCCCATGCCGCAGGTGACGCTGCAGGCGGACCATTCTTCGGCGATGAACCTGAGAAACCAGGTTTCACAACTGATACATACCCGAATTCGCGTAAGATAGTACGATGGGCGGACGCGAGTTCGACCGGAAACTCCGGTAACTGGGATTTTGGGTCACGGTAGGATGAAAAATGCGATGGACGCCTAAGATTTGATCATTCATTTTCGGGGTGAGCACTTGAGAGAGATTTAAAGCGTATAAATTATTCTATATAAATATACGGCTAAAAAAGTTTAATCTCTTTCTATTAAAAAGAAGTATCTGCACGCGTTCAGTGAACGTTAAATTATGATCCAAATTTAACGCAAATTTTAAAATGCACACAAATGCATATGCGCATGTATAATAAAGATATTTAATTGTAAATTATTTAGTCCGTTTTTTATTGAATTTCGAAAATTTATCACTGGTACTCATAAATATGTATATACATTTTATTATCAGATTTAATATGTATATTTATACCAAAAAGAGTGAAATAAAAAAAATATAGCATCAGACATCCACGATATTATCAATAATTGTGGCAGAGATTTGATAACATTCAATTATATTAAATAAAATATTTAGATATACGTTTATATTTTTTAGTATATTTTTAAGTATAATAAAATTAGTTTAACTAGAAATTATGTATATCTAGATAAATGTGTTGGAATTTATTTAACAAAACTCCATTATATCTGATAACTTATTTATTTAAAAAATATTTCCAAACATCAACAAAATTAAATAAATATATTTAATTTTGTTCAGTGTTTGTGTTTGTATATTGTGTACATTTACTATTTAATTTAAATGTGTCATATAATTTATATGAGAGTCAAGTATTTTGACAAATTTGAAGCAAATTTTTCGCGTCAATAAATAATTCGTTAGGCACAAACGTTTCAATCTGTTTCGTTAATGCCAGAAAATAAATTTTGGTATGTATATGTCATGTAATAGATTTGGTATTTTTTTGAGTTGAGTATTATTTCGCGTGTGAATATTCTTTTCAATTATTATAAGTAATTATAAATGTAAATCGAAACAAGAATTCTTTAAAATGAAATAAATTTTCAATTACTTAAATTATAATTTTGTTTTTTTAAATGAAGACTTATACGTTTATCGTGAGATTTTGTGTGTGTGTAAGTGAGCGCAATTAAACTTTTGTTCTCATTTATCCTCGTGTAAAATAAATCTGTGACAGATGAAATCGTTACGATAACGGAAGGATGGAATGACGCGTTATGAACGTTAAGAGTACGGAGAAATTGTCAGATAGTACCCCATACAGGGAGAAAGTTATAAACGCTGACTGAAGGGAATGTAGGTCTAACATCTTATGGAATCTCGCTACGGTGGTAATGGCTGTTCTAAAGCCGCTGCCATTGTTCTCGAATTGCGATCGATGTAACATATCCCGCGAGGATTGTAGCGAAACGGAAAGTTTATACGAGCCGAGAACTTGATGAATTAATCGTTTGGCGGTCCGCCTCGCGGACTACCTAAATTGGATTTTAAATTAGATCAAACAAGATAGTTATTTGTTTCTTTACATTTTCCTACAGATTACGCCGCAAAAATAAAATGAAAGTATGTCAACTATCTATAAATTCGCGGAAACGTTGTTCAATTTTGATCGCCCGCGTAAATAAAGAATTACCTTATATATAAATATATAACCCATTTTATTACTGGCTAATGCTATCACTAAAACATTCTCAATTCTAAATTTATCAGAGAATCCTAAAAAATAATAACAGCAATTTTATTACATCAGCGTGTAGTTTGGTCCAGAGCTCATATCTAATTCGAGACAGAATTTCATCAATAGGTAATTGAATGTTTTAATCAATAAGAGAAAACTAAAAGTAAAAAGAAAAAGTTTATATATAAAACTTACACTTTAATTTAACTATAGTTACTATTTGTGGATCATTTTCTTCTAATATTTCTTTATTTTTGTATGTACGATTGGCTTTCAAAGTCACATTAATTTATTGTTACATCAGAATGCATGTACGGTAATGATTTGAAATGGGATTAACGCGATCTGTAACGATGTTATCTGTGTCGATACATCGCAATTCATCCAAGTGAGGTCAAAGACACTAATAAATATAGACAGTATATATGATGCATTACAGGATATATGTGCGAGAGTAGGACTTACGTCGATTCGGAAGGTATCGGTTGGTCCATCAATTTCTCCGACACTGGGGATAGCGGATACGGCTGCACCAGGGGCTGCGTCATACCGTCACCATCTAAATAACATTTCGTATGCATCTCATATCCTATGCATATTCCTTTACACAATAATCGTGTTTTTTGCGATAATTTCTCGATTTCGGTTGGAACTTGATTTCTGAAGTTTCTTTTACACAAAGCGCGTCGAATTTTTCACAGAGGCTATTTTTACGCAAACCGATTAAAATTAAGAAAAAAATCTGCAATTTTGCAGAAATGTAGCAAAGTGAACTTAATATCGCATATTTTTCATTTTACCAACAAAATGATTTTGAACACTTTTAAAAAGAATTGGATTTTTTATTTGCTTATTAATATCTCTGAAATCGTAAAGATATCAACATGTAACAAATATTATATACACAATCTTATGGTTTCGAAATATATAATTTAAAGAACGTTTGTAAACAATAAAAAATATTTTTATAATTATTACGATGTTGAGACTTTTTAAAAATTAGCATTCCATTCTGTGCAACGCAAGTGGGGACTGAAGGCTCTGAATTTTTTATCTTGAAGTATAAGGAAGACTTAAAAAAATAATATGCTCAACTTTGCAAATCATGCATAATAAATAGAAATGTTGGTAAATGTTTTCTAGCAGAATTAGTTACGCGACCTCTTAACAGCATGGGGAACGAAGCTTAAATTTCTTACAGATCTGCCACGTAATTTTATATAATCTGCTTAAGGGAATATCGCGTATGAATTTTCAGACAGTTGCTTAAAGCACGTTAAATTGCCGTTCGATCGAATATGAGTTTAACTTATTGTTAGACATAACGCAATTACATGTGGGACATGCGACGTTCATCTTGCACTCCTGCTCGGTATGAGGGCGTTCCGCGGGGTCGCAGTCCCTGGAGATGGCACCAACACCGTCTCTGCATTCGATCGTCCTCGTCCGTATTCCGGTGCCACAGGTCACGGAGCACTGCATAAATAAAAAGTTAAAATGCACACTTCGCGTAGAATTGTAATAAGATGCAATGTGGGCCGATAAAAGCGAGGAATAATGTACGCGGCTCATAAAAATTGTAGTAGCGAAATTCACACTTGGAAAGACAAGCTGCATGTTAAATAATCACGTCCATTCGAGTGGGCTGATAGACATAATTAATAACACAAAAATATAATTGCAATTTAGTGATATGAGAGTTATGTGCTGAAAACAATATAAACATAAGATATTTTAATTTTCATATATTTTGTTGCTCCATAACATTTTTTAAAATATCTTTTTCGTGATTTAATATAAAATACAATATGAAAAGTTTTATAATTTGTAATTTGTTTCCTGCAATTTAGCGAGAGAGCTAGAAGGCAAGGTGCAAAAAGTTCTGTTTGACAAGGATAAATCAGAGACGAAATCCGAGACTGCGCTTTACTCCGAAAGTATAAGGAAAGATGCAATCGAAACTATCCGCATTAACAACGCGGCAACTTCGCATGAAACGCCACATTCCAGGAGCGGACTAATGCCGTGGCGCCAGTCTAATTTAAAATTCCGGATTGCCATTTTCGGTTCGCATTTCAGCAAAGTCGAAAAGTCTCGTTCAAGGCATGTTGCACCATCGAAGTTTCTCGGTCGCAATGAAACCTGCAAAGAAAGGCGAGAAAGGAAAAGAGGAAAGTATCGAGAGAGAGAGAGGGATTTGAGAAAAGGAATCTAAGAGAGACAGAGAAAAGGAAGGGAGAGAGAGAGAGAGGGGGGAGGGGGAGAGAAGACAATGAAGGAGCTTGGACGTGAGAGCTATCGTTCGGGAAGGTGGAAAGGCGACACGAAAGGAAAAGCGGAAACCTACTCGACTTAGGTGCCGTACTCTCTCCCGCTTTCGCGCGCGATTCTCCCCCTTTTATCCCCCGTTTCTCATCCCGGATTCTTCGCCCTTCCTTCCATCCTTCATCTCCCACCGTCTGTCTTTGCTTTTCACGGTCGGAGCCATATAACTCGGAAAGAGTCTCGATAGCGAGGGGGCGAGTGCTTTAAGGAGCCTTGTGCTTTCAGTTCAATATTTGCATGGCTCCCGGGCGCTCACAAAAGAGAGAAATCTATCAATTCCTGTCTTCTAGCGGACGCCACCCCGCGCCCTCCGCAGCGCTTCGGATGAAATCATTACCGTGCCACGCTGACGGGGCACGGGAGCCTTTATGTATCGCTACCAGAGCCGCGCCGTTCCGGGGATGCTGCTCGGTTTCTCGAAGGCGAATGGGGACGAACTGTATTGTGTATCGATCAGAAATGAAGCGCCGTAAATCATGGGCTCACGCACACTTTCGCGGTTGCACATGACTGGGAAAATTTACCCGTTCTACCTGGTATTCCGCACTCATTGGTCTGAGTTGCGAATGAACGTAATGGAATAGCGATCCGTTATTCGCTGCAGACAAACAACGTTGTTCGTCGAGAGATAGAAATATATGACGCCGCGATGCGTTTATATCTGCCAATTGTGTAAATATACTCACTGTAATATACATAATTCTCAAATATTATTCTTAAAAAAAAACATTAATAAGAAACCGAGGTTTAAACAAGATGAATTTTGTAAGATTCGCATAATATTATTATTGAGCATCAAGATTCACTTTAGATTACATTTGGCATTTTTAAAAATTCGTCTTGTTTAACCTTCGTCGTCTCGATTAGGTTTCTTATGTTTGTTTATACGTTGCCTGAAAGAAAAATGATACATTTCCTTCTATATTACTAGTTATTGCAATAAATATTGCCACATGTCACGATAGTCGAACGGTAAGACATCCGCCCGGAGAGCAGGGAAGTCTAAATTCAAAGCCTGACGTAATATTTTTCGCATTAAGTTATTCTACAGAATTTTATACATGCTTATTAGCATAAAAAATTTAGTAATTACAATTTAATTGTGATATTATGTGGTCCGGATTCAGTTAGAGAGCTATGTTTTAAGATCGATAAATATTCAGCGCGTAGTTTATTTGAACGGAAAATTAAGGTTTACATAATAATATTGTTGAGTTTCAAGATCCACTTTTGGCGTTTCTAAAAATTCATATTCTTCAAATTTTAAAAATTCATTCTTAAATAGAAGTGTTGATATAATTTTATATAACGAGGATAATTTTATATAACGGAGTCGCGTTTATTAAAAGTGTTAATTATAGTTTTTTTATTTTTATAGATAAATTTTATCATTCTAACAAATTTAAACTTTACTATATTGTAACTTATTATAATTTTATTATTTTTTACTAAAGATAAATTTTATTATTGTAGTGTATTTAAATTTTATGAAATATATTTTAAATGAAACAATATCATAATTAAATACTTAATATTTTATTACTGCCTTTTTGGGATCTATTCAAATTTATTCTGCATAAACAGGTTGAAGAAAAGAAAAGATGAAATAACTTGAAGAGATTTTACATACGAAACAATCTAATATTAGTAATCGTAGTACATGATCAGTGAAATATTGCGTCTAACACGCGGCGGATACCGCAATAAATACACATCTAGCGCAACGGGCCGCATTTAGCGACCTCATGAATAAAGCATGACGTCTACATTCCGCAGGGAAGTTGCGGAGATTTTTCCTTTCACGTATCTGCCAAGAAACTTTAGTTCGCTCAAGAGACGGGAAGCGTTCACGAAAACTCGTACGAACGCCATTCTTTACTGTTATCTACCCGGACGTTCATCGTCATGTCCTTATTTATGCAACAAGATTGCATTCTCGAGGATCATGAGAGGCTATTTTACCCGCAGCGGGAATTCGCAATGTGTAACTGGACGCGAATAGTTTGCAATTCGTGGAGGTCCTCTAATACAGAAATTTGTCTCCGAGAATAAATATCTTTCTCCAACATCCCTTCTAACTTTTGGCATTCCCATATCCCGCGTCTTTTTAAACTTTTTCTATATTTCCTAACGGTAGAAAATACTATCTATATGTCTGCGAGTATAATCTCACACAGTTGAAAAATTTGTGTCAAATTTAACAAATTTTGCTTTTATAATTTAATACAAGATGAATATGTTAGAAAGTAACACAAACATTATATAAAAATTAACATAAAAAAATTTAACACTTTGATTTGAACAATTTGGAAACAAATCGTGGAAGCATTTTTCTTTAGTACACGGAAAAAATTGCTGTGGATGTTACAACAATATTCTCTATGTTTGGAAAAGAAATGCATGTGAATTTAAGTTATATTGATGTTACATGGCATTCATCTGTTAAGGTATGCTCATCAGTACGGTTGTCACAACCGTAGTGCTTAGGATAAATAATATTCGGTTAGAATATCTTCATATATGTGGTTGCCTCAACCGAAACATTATTGTTATCTCTCTAGTATGGTCTGTACAACAAATAATATAATATAATTGAGAGACATATATGATATAGTTGCACGTCACAACATTGAGGCTGAGAGTTCAGTTAACTATATAAATCACTTCCAAAGTATTTTAGTTCCTATAACTCTTCTAAATTGATGGGCGAAAATTATCACAATTATTAGATTGTGGTAACAGCAATTTTTTTTCCGTGTAAAATTAATATTTATAATGTTAAATTTACACGCATATTAATCTTTTAATCACTTAGCTTAGAATTTAGATTTTATGTTTTAACATTTTGTTATTTTTATATTATTTATGCGCTCATTCAAAATTGTGTGTATGTTATACTTGTTATCTTAAAATACTAAGAATTAAATATTAATTTAACACAAAATATTAAAATAACTTAATCATGTTAATTAACACCGAGGTATGTTAAAAATTCAATATAATTTTAACAAGGGCCATTTTTAACACAATTACAAAATGTTTTCTACTGGGCAAGTTACGTATTAAAATTTAATGTGGACAATGAGTGATGTGGAAAAATTTTACGCTTATTTAATGCGATCTACAGACAATATGGAAAACAACAAAGATATTTTGGGGAAGATCTCAAACTGAATCGTTTCGTGTAAAAGCACCGCGATTCGAGGGCTGAAAGGTGCATTCAACCGTCTAAAATTGGACGAATTCCAAGTGGATAAGTACCGCGCGTTGTCAGACATGTAAAGACACGCGACGTTTTTATTGCGGAATACATTCGAGTAACATTCTGAGAAAGTGAAAAAACGTTTGTGATAGCGGTTCGAAAAGAATCCTCAGCGGCGGAAGTTTGTTTCGGATTTTGTCCCAAAACGTCCCTGCATCCGTCGTAAAGTTCGGCGGTGCAGTAATCCGCCACGGCCTACGTTCGCTATAAAATAAAATACAAAATACAGGCATGTGTAACTTTCAGAACGTTCTAATTTTCAACGAGGGCTTCTTTCAATTTGAGAATCGCGCTGCTATATTGGTTATTTCACGGAGCAAACTTTGAAGGCAATCAGAGCATTCAGAGCGATTCTTGGGAGGGAACTAACGGCGCGACGATTCGTACAATGAAAATTCTGGAAAGCTTCCAGGCAATGTATCGATTTTCGGAAGAGAGAAAGAGAGAGAGAGAGAGAGAGAGAGAGAGAGAGAGAGAGAGAGAGAGAGAGAGGGAGGGAGAGAGGGAGAGAGGGAGAAGGAGGAGGAGGAGGAGAAAGAGAAGGAGGGTGTAAGTGTCTACCTCGACAAGAAACTGGACCAGAAAGAGAAGAAGAAGCGAGAGAGAGAAAGAGAGAAAAAAAAAATGATTTGTCGAGCGTTGTGCCAGAAAGTATGCCAGAAAACTTGCATAGATGTCACCGACCCGTTCGAATATGTGGCAATATGTACCGCATACATTGTGTGCACTGCGTACAATACGTGCCCGTATGAATCGTACATGCGTTCGCACGCAGGCTGCGACGAAAACATTGGTAAACGAAACATGTATGCACGCGTTCCGGTTACCGCCGCATAAATTTATCCGCGCTTCCTATGTTTTATGCAGACGTTTTACGATAACTCTGGCA